ACACACACACACACACACACACACACACACACACACACACACACACACACACACACATATATACATCTATATATATATATATTCTACACACACCCACACACACATACACACACACTATATATATACATATCACATACGTTCTGATGGAGCACTTGTAGGTACTTGCGGTCGGAGAGATTGGAGTAGTCGGTGCTGGTACGTGTTATGCAGTACATGGCATAGGTGGAGATGACTGTGCCAAATGTCACGAAGTATGTGATGGGCTCAACTGCGCCAAAAGGATACAATGAAATAAAATGGTAAGAATTGAAGCTGGTCAATTTTTTTTAATCTGAAGCTAAGCTCCAGGCTGTCGGAAGGGTTGTCATCATATGTTGTGCTAACTAGAGCTGAGCTTGGCTAGATATATTCAAAGTGCGAATTACAAAGGGAGCGAGTTGTAAGGAACGAACTCCACGAATTAGGGACCTGAATCAGGGCTCAAAAGTACGCTGTGATAAATTTGGAGATAAAAACTATGATAACTGAGTCCAATCAAACCTCTCAGTATCTCAATGGAATACTGCAACCTGGCGACTATCAATGTACTAAAAGGGGAAGGCAATGTGAGAAAGAATTTACAGGTAATAATACTAGCCCAGAAGACCTGGCGCAGACACTACCTCGGGTACACTGTAGAGCGCACCTGTGTGCGATAGTACAACACTTTAAAAGTAGCCATCGTATCTATTCATCATACTCGCACAGAATACTCATAAACCTCATATCACAGTACTTTGCCCAAACACCCACCAGTCACGATATATGGGTACTCTGATATGGACATGTACATACATCAAGCACCTGCAAAACCACCGCCTTCGACACAGCCCTTTTGTAAAGCTTGGCAAAGGCTAAGGGCATAACACTAACATATATATATACCTGAAAATAAGTATATACGTAATACATGCATATGCATGTGTACGTATGTAAGACATAAATACAACATTATAGACCAAATTCAGTCTTCTAAAAATATATTGTACGACGTACCTACATCCCAGCTATACTCCCACCAGGTCATCCTGGCCAGAATACCAAACTGTGTGGACATAACCACCAGCCCACCCCACAACCACGTGTCTGTCCACCGATGCGCACTCGCCCGTGCGTCCATAACCTATTTATAGAATAGATAAGCACAAGGTGTTAGGTCCAGATGCATATTTGTGTACTTGGTGGATGGGGGTCCATAGCAGGCGAGTGGGTATATTGGCAAAGATATGGCCACCAGGACTCGCCTATAAGTGCACAATTTATTTTCAAACATTACGGAAATAATAGTAGAATCAACTTTATGGTTGGTGGATAGTTATTGGTAGCAGGCGTATAGGTATATTTGTTGAGATATGACCACCAGCACTTGCCCGTGCCTCTATTAGCTATTTTCAGCACAGTTGAGCACAACATATTAAAATGAATAAATGCTTTGATACTAGGTGTATAGGTAATAATAGCAGGCGTGTAGGTAATTGCAAAGGCGTAATTACCAGCACTCGCCCGTTGCTCTATTAGCTATTTTTAGAACAGTAAGCACCACGTAGTAGAACAAATAAATGCTTGGACACTAGGTGGATCGGTAATGATAGCAAGCGTGTAGGCATATTTGCAAAGGTGTGATTACCAATACTCGCCCGTGCTTTCTCTTCTTTAGAGAAAGTTAAAAGGTATTATATTACATAGATGCTGTTGTCCTAGGTGGGTAGGTATGGTACCGGGCGTGTAGGTATATTTGCAAAGGTGTGATTACTAGCCCACCCCACAGCTAAGTGCTCGTCCCCGTTGCGCACTAGTCCGTGTGTTCGGAACTTATTTGTAGGGCAAGCACACATGGAGTGATACATTGCTAGCATGCTTGCATGTATGTTGTGAATATATGGCACTACTTCGTAGAGCACGACTCATATGGGTAGCCTGCAAATGAACTTTAAAACCCTAAACCCTAAGATGTACGCGTCTCAAGAGAGAAACAACATGTACTGCAAAGAGGTATCAGTAGGACATTCGGTGCCATTATTTGAATATGAATCTGGCTTTAAATCTTGTACGTACCGATTTCTCCATGGGTTCCAATTGCTTCTCAATTAAGTTGAGGCGAGTCTGTGCTCGATCTACCAGCTCACTAAGAATGTAAAAAATGTCGATGGGTTCAGGATGTGGAAAAACAATTGGGTTTGTAACCCACAGCCACCGAGAATTGTACTATAAATGTTTCTATCCAGTTTAAGACACTCCCGGAATAAACAATGAAGTAGGGATGGATACGTTAAAGTGAACGACAGACGGATATCGGAAAACCAATAGTTGAAACACTCCCGGAATAAATAATAAACTAGGAATGAGTGCATTAAAGTGAACGACAGACGGATTATAAAAAGCCAATGCAGAAGACTCGCAGTTTTTGGATATAACTAAGTCATGAGGTTGGAGCATTTCATTGTGTGGGCCCGGGCGCTTTTAGGCTGTAACGTATGTGTGTTTATGTGTGTTCATATGGGGAAAATCATTATAACTTGACTGTAGTCAACGAAGGTAAAATTCGCTGCATATAAATCCGACTCTTCATCCTCATGAACAGATTCACTATGATAGCACACGCATGGGCATAACTTAGAACTGAAGTCACGGTTGCACAGAGCAGGCCTCATATTTTGTTCACTGACATGCACACACACGCACACACAGACGACAAACATCAACGTACGCAACAACTACATTCTTGATGCATAGCACTCTGTACTCGTTGCAGGGTCGGGATTGGCAGCGTTACATCCAACAATCATAGAAACCCCATATGCATGATATATTTATATATCTCTAAACGGATAAGGGAATATGAGTTTTAGTATACATCACCTCAAAATCGTATATATGGCAGATTCATCCAGTTAACCCCACCTAACACCCCCCTCCTTTTACAAGATATACACAGACACACAAACACAGACACACACACACCTCCCACCCACACACACATATATATATATATATAAATATACATATAACAAATCATACAACGATACCACACACACACACACAC